TTAACACCTCTGAAATTAGAATGTTTCATAATCTATCATCACCATCACTCTCAGTTGTCATCGAGTCAATTCTGACTCATGGGAACCCATTTGTGTCAGAGCAGAACTCTGCTCCACAGTTTTGTCAATGGCTGATTTTTTTTTTAAAGCACATCACCAGACCTGTACACCTCTTCCTGAGGTATCTGTGTGTGTGCTCAGGCAGCCAATTCGCACACAGGTTAGCAACCGGGGTCATTAACCATTTGCACCATGAAAGGACTTCTCCTAAGGATTCTTGCATTGTTGTTGCCATGAGGCAATCGCAACGTGAAACTGTATCGTAACTCTTCTTACAGTCACTGCAGTTGAATTATGTGAACTACTGGCACAGCACATGTTGAGTTTAACGGCTTTTTAAAATGTCATTAAAAAAATAATGGTATGAATAAAAACGGAAACAAATAATCACTGGTTAGGCAGAATGGATGAAAACAAATATCAGGGTACAAATTTGATACTTGATAAGTAACTATTAGTCACACTGTACAAATGATCATAAATGCTATATTTTCTTGGAAAACACAATCAACTGCTTTGCAGGATATAAGAAGGTTCAGGATTCAGGCCTCAAAGAAGAAAAAATTCTATCATTGTGTGCTCACCTCGATACGATTGCTGAGGACAGATGGGTGCATAGGCAAATGTGGTGGAGAAAGCTGATGGTGCCTGGCTATCAAAAGATATAGCGTCTGGGGTCTTAAAGGCTTGCAGGTAAACAAGTGGCCATTTGCTCAGAAGCAATAAAGCCTACATGGAAGAAGTACACCAGCCTGTGAGATCACGAGGTGTCAAAGGGAACAGGTATCAAGCATCGAGGAACAAAAAATCATATCATTGTGAATGAGGGAGAGTGCAGATTGGGGACCCAAAGCCCATCTGTGGGCAACTGGCATCCCCTTACAGGAGGTTCTCGGGGAGGAGACGAGCCAGTCAGGGTGCAGTGTCGCAACGATGAAACATACAACTTTCCTCTAGTTCTTAAATGCTTCCTCCCCTACTATCATGATCCCAATTCTACCTTACAAATTTGGCTAGACCAGAGGATGTACACTGGTCCAGATAGGAACTGAAAATACAGGGAATCCAGGACAGGTGAACCCTTTGGGACCAGTGGTGAGAATGGTGATACCGGGAAGGTAGGGTAGAAAGGGGGAACCGATTGCAAGGATATACATATAACCTCCTCTCTGGGGGACGCACAACAGAAAAGTGGGTGAAGGGAGACGTTGGACAGTGTAAGATATGACAAAATAATAATAATTTATAAATTATCAAGGGTTCATGAGGGAGCAGGGAATGGGGAGGGAGGGGGAAAATGAGGAGCTGATATCAAGGGCTCAAGTAGAAAGCAAATGTTTTGAGAATGATGATGGCAACAAATGTAAAAACATGCTTGACACAACGTATGTATGTATGTATGGATTGTGACAAAAGTTGTACGAGTCCCCAATAAAATGATTTTTTTTTTAAAAGAAGAGAATGTGCTATAAGTAGATAAAGCTGCATTATATTGTATGGCTGAGATGCATGCACAAGAATTTCCTATGCCACACAAAGGAACAATGGTGAGATAAATTGCCAAATTTCTAATAATAGATTAAAGAAGTCTCAGTAAATGAACCATACTTTCCACAGGATTGTCATCAAGATTTCACATCAGTTTACAGAGACTTCCTTCCTGCTGACTTTGAACAGAATGCACTCCACTCTTCGCAGGATACCAACGAAAATAAGGAAAATGAAAAAAAAGGAGGATGAAAATATGTGTTTAATCGAACAAGTAATGCTGAGAATGAGAATTAGTATTCTTTGGCACACCCTAACAATATATTGTCAATGCAAAACAATTTTAAAGAAATCAATATTATTAATTTGGGTTGCAAAAAGCAGCACATCACAAATGGTATGCCTAATTGCCATTTGTTGATGCTGTGATCATTTTAAATTTTATACTTAAAACAATAGCTAAGAATAAAAACTTATTTCAAAAATATTATAGAGAGTGCATCAAAATAGTAGATGGTGCTGGTGGAACTGATGAAAAACTGGGAATAGACATTGTGTTTTCCAGTTCTTAATTCTATGGACATGTATCTGAATAAGAATAATCACCCCTGAAAGTACTCTCCTGTGATTGTTAATATTAATGGCATGACTCAACCACTATTTCACTCAAAAACCTATGTAAGGATCATTTGCAGAAGGAATATAAATTCTAGGTCTTGTCTGAACTCTCCCAATTAAAAACATTGGGTACGATGAAGAAAGTATCAGCCTCGGAATTTAGGGATTGGAGACAATAGTTGTGCCCATTTTAAAGAGATGTTCCATTATAGACTTTCTTGATGACCCAGAGGATAGTATTTTATGGAAACATATGATTGACAGTGACTCTCTATTTGAAACATTTATAAAAGTTGACCTCTATGTATATGAAAAATGTTAGGAAGATATTAAGCAATTTGTATTTTTATATTATTTTAAAGAGCTAGATTTCAATAAATCAAAACAGTTATTTCCATGAGGATAAAAGAAATCCTATGTGGTAAAAAGTGTTAGCCAGTGTTTAGCTATACTTTGTCTTTGAGGCGGAAATCATTGCTAGAGCTAAAGGTCAGTTCACAAAAATGAAAGATTTGACTCACTGGTAATGCATATCTAAATGGACATGCAGTCAATAACAATTCCTCTTTCTTCCTTCCACTAACACTTATTTTGGGTTTGTTTTGGTTTTTAAGCTTCACTCACAGACTTTGTAACTACTAAAAGGTAAATATGAGTGCAGTTTTGATGCATATGAGAATAAAAATACCAATTTTGGATTCATTCTATAGCAATTAATTTTTGGTAGGCTGTTTGTCTCATACATTTCAGTGAGGAGCTAGCTTAGGGAAGGACAGAAAGGGAGCTTGGAGGAGAACAATAGTGAGTCCTTGTTCTAAGGGAAAAAGATAAAAATGAGTAATTTTACTAGAAAGATATGGGAGGAATTGAATCTGAAAGGGAAGGTAAAAGCTCAAGCAGGAAAGGAAAATAAAATATATGTAATAGAACCCAGAAATGTTTAAAGATAGGATCTGAACGGTAAATAACAAATACTCATAAAGGGGGTGTTAAAACGGAATTTTTTTCATGAGCTTTTTGAAGCCCCTCATGAGCGAAATGTGTATGAATGGTTGAGTGGAAAACGGATTCTCTCTGTCAACCATCGCCCAGTTTACACACAGGCAATTGGTATTTCTGCTTAACCGAATGGTTTTAATTGAGTTACATTCTGAATTTTAGTTTCAGTTGTCCTCTTATTTCCCTTTTACGTCTTTCTAAATGGAAAGGAAAGGAGTTTTGAGGCTGTGCAATGTGGAGGAGCAGAAATCCAGACGCTTGGCATTCACTTAATTTATAGATAACAATTATTACTGCATGTCACCTAATAAAACAGGCCATACAAATGTTCCCAGCTAACCATCTCATCTTTCCTCTAGAGAGGACATTTAGTTTACAAATCTGTATAATTTACTTTTAATTTTTAATTTACCACTGTATGGATTTTTTTCTCTGCTATTGACTATTTTGGCCATTTCCTGGACAGTGAGCAATTCCTTCGGAGTGGCCTGGAGAAAGAGGAGGCCGTCGACCCCCAGGCAGAGTTACAGTCTGAGGAAGCCCCGGGGGCGGTGCTGCCTGGGTCTGTTCTCTGGGTCGCTATGACAAGCCATCAACTCGATGGCAGTCAGTTTGGTTGTGAGTTTTCCCAGTGGAAGGGAAACTAAATAAATGCATTTTGTTTATTGTGCTGTTAAACCTGCTCTGGAAAAAAGTAGTGAGTGGCAAGTAAGTTTTACATATTTGCATATTAGTTCTATAAATGAAGTTTAGAAAACTCAGAAACCCAAAAACAAGCAAATAATAATAAAATAATAATACCAACAAACCCACTTCCATCAACCTGAGATAACTAGTGACCCAGGAAAGCGTTTCCAAGACTCAATCTTTGCAGGAGCACACCATCTACCTTATGGATCTGCTGCAGAACAGCTAGTGGGCCTGAACCCCTGACCTTTGGGTTCGTTGCCCAATGTCTAACCCACAGCACCAGCCGAGAAATGAGTGCTTGGGTTACTCACGGATGGGCACTATGACAAACCTGGATAGCACATATTTTCCCTGAAGGAATTCAATATTTTCACAAATACATGATGGCTAAATTAGGCCTGCAGGCCTACACTGTACAATATCTGTACCATTAGTCTTGATATTCAAAGATGTCATAAAAATATTGTTAGTCTTAATGTCCTTAGATATCATAAAATATTATTGTTTAAATGCATGGCATTTTCACACTCTAGTTTATTAAGCTATGAGCCAGTCAACATGAATAATATCAAGCTAAACTCAAAAGGGCTGTAATCACACCATGAAGCACAGTAGCGAGTGAATAGCTGGGGACCACCCTGATTCATGATCACTGTTGCTGTTGTTGTTGTTAAGTACCATCAGTGGTTTTTGACTCACAGAGACCTCATATGACAGAGCGGAACTGTCCCTTAGGGTCTTCTTGGCTGTGAAATTTACAGAGGGGCAGGGTGGGCTCAAATTGCCAGTGTCTCAGGGGAAACCCCTTAGCCATTTCCACTGACTGGCAATGAGTTTGGTTTTAGAGTTTATAACCTTCCTGAATGTGTGTTCAGAGCCTGCTCTAAAGAGGTACTCAAAAACTTTTCCTTCTTTTTCTTAAAAAATTTAAAAAGATTTTTTAAAGATCATTCAAGAGAGAAATAAATCACATAAAAATCTCCTTTCACACACACACACAAATGAGTTTCTGCTGCTTTTTAAAGGAATAGACTATTGGGACAAATATTTCACTATTTATTGAGGGTAGATTGTACTGACATTTTGTGATGAAATATTTAGACATATATGTAAATTTTTACTTTATTTTTTTAACTTTTTTTTAGGGAAAGTTTCATGGAAATCCAATGCATGTAGCTGTGGTTATTTCAAATTGCTTAAGGGAAGAGAGGAGAATACTGGCTGCAGCCAACATACCTGTCCAGGTAATAGTATCTGAACTCTATGATGTTATTTTGACTTAACACTGAAACAGAATTTTTTTAAAATCATTTTATTGGGTGCTCTTACAGTTCTTATTACAACCCATACATACATCTATTGTGTCAAGCACATTTGTACATATGTTGCCATCATCATTTTCAAAACATTTTCTTTCTACGTGAGCCCTTGGTATCAGCTCCTTTTCCCCTCCCCTCCCTCCTTCCCTCATGAACCCTTGATAATTTATAAGGTGGTTTTTTCCCCACGTCTTACAATGACTGCTGTCTCTCTTCACCCACTTTGCTGTTGTCCGTCCACCTGGAAGGCGGTTATATGTACACCATGGTGATCAGTTCCTCCTTTCTCCCCCCACCTATTTTCCCCTTACCCTCGTGGTATGGCTACTCTCACTATTGGTCCTGAGGGGCTTATCTTCCTGAATTCCCTGTGTTTCCAGCTCTGATCTGTACCAGTGTACATGCTCTGGTCTAGCAGGATTTGTAAGCAGAATTAGGGTCATGATGGTGGGGAGGAGGAAGCATTAACGAACTGGAGGAAAGCTGTATGTTTTATCAGAGCTATACTGCACCCTGACTGGCTCGCCTCTTCCTTGTGACCTTGGTTTCTAAACCAGCTGCATCTACCACTTTCAGTTGCTTGGAATCAAGGTTTTGGAATCATCTTTGACTCATTCCTTTTCTCCACCTTGTTACTGCGATAATTACCAAGACTTTCTTATATTTATTTCTAAAAGCTTTTTCCACACCTACAGCACCTTTTCTGTTTTCATCCATCTCATGTTAGTGCAGGGTCATACAATGGCAGTCAAGGAATGTAATCACCACCTCTGATAGGTTTCCTAAATCCCTTCACCATGGCTGTCCTCATAGAGCAATCTTGCTCAGAGTTCTTCAGAAACTCCCTAGTTCTTGTCCCTCAAGTATAAGCCAATCCACAGAAGGAATTTTGTATTACAAAAACTCCAAAACCAACCCAACCCACTGCCATCAAATTGATCCTAGCTCCTGTAATTGTTGTTACATTGTTTTTAGGCCCCACGGAGTCAGTTCCAACCCCTAGCAATCCAATGCCGAACAGAACAACCCTACAGCATCCCCTCAGTTGTTCCTATGCTGGAATCCCCTGGTCCAGCCATGGTGTCCATCCAGCTCAGTGAGGGCCTTCCTCTCTCTCACTGCCCTCTGCTTGACCAAGCCTGGGGTCCTTCTCCAGGGACTGGTCTCTCCTGACGGCACGCCCAGAGTCCATGAGATGAAGCCTCACCCTCCTTCCCTCTAAGGAGCACGGCCGCCCTACTTCTTCCAACACAGATTTGGTTGTACTTTCAGCAGTCCATGGTACTTTCCGTTTTCTTCACCAGCGCCACAATTCGAACACATCAATTCTTCTTTGGCCTTCCTTATTCCCCATCCAACTTTCACATGCAGAGGAGGCAACTGAAAACTGGGTTAGGTGCACCTTAGTCCTCGTTAATGTTCTTGCTTTTCAGTTCTCTAAAGCAGTCTTCTGCAGCAGATTTACCCCGTGCAATGCATCCTTTGACCTCCTGACTGCTGTCTCCCTGAGCATTGATTGTGGATTTTAATCCATAGTGACCCTACACAGGGTTCCCAAAGATACAAATCTTTACCGGAGGACATAGCTTCCTCTTTCTCCTGTGGAGCAGCTGGTGGGTTTGAACTGCCCACCTTGTGGTTAGAAGTTGAACGCTCACCCCACAGTGCCACAGAAACTCCATAAAATTTATTTGTTGAGTATGCTTCAACTCAACTCTATCATCGAGTCGATTATGACTCAAAAGGACCACATAGGACAGGTGAAGCTGCCCCTTTGGGTTTTTCTGAAACTTGGTTTATCATCATCTAGATTGCATTCTATCCAACTATCCTGAATGAATTCAGATCCCCCATCAAAAATAATCAGAGGAATTAATAAAGCCCTTTACGAATACTTTTTCAGTTAAACCCTTAGTAAAAGGAAAACATATATAAGTAATCAATTATCTAAATTATACTTTCATGATTTAGTAAATCATACACTATAATTGTTTCTGAAGATCAAATTATATATTTTTAACTATTATAAATTCTCAGGTTTCGTTATTGTCAGATCATGACTGTTCTTAGAGGAGTATGAAGTTTGAACAATTTACCTTTTATGCTTCTAAAGGAAGAAGAGAGATGGCATAGTTTTTATTTGAGTTAAAATCTGAAGTATAATGTTTCTAAAGCTAAAATAACTTGACTTGGTGCTATCGGAGTTGAAATACTGCTCTTGTTGTTCCCAATAAATAATATATGTCAGTCAAATTGAAGCATTCATTTAGTGTGGATGCCCATGAAACTCACTTTGAAAAGAATGTGCCAGTTTGCCATACCATCTCAAAAGAAGCATTTAAATTTCAAGGTTTTAACATTTCATCAAGGAAGACAAACTGGATGCTAAAATGAAAAAGAGCAAGAAAATGTAGTCATAGGAAATTTTATGGAACTTTGTCAAGCTGAAGAATGTGAAGTAGTTGAAAAACACTTGATCCAGAATCAAGGGCAAGAGTTCCACTCAAGGTTCCACCCTTGATTTGCTGTGGAGCTTAGTCATCAACTTTCGAACCACTCCTTTCCATCCCCGGACTGTAGGGTGAAGGGATTGCTTACATCTCTAACTCTCATCTCTATGTGACTGTATTTAGAATGACCACATTCAAAGTTAGATTACTCGAACTGCCAAGAAATTGTGCTTGGAAATGTATCGCAATCAGATGATTTTAACAGTGGTTACCAGGAGTGGAAGCAAAAGGAAGAGTGAGGAATCTTTATTTAGCAAGCACCAGTGACGGAAAGTACAGCAGTGAACACTGGTGAGGGTCACACAGCATGACTGATATAACTGGCTTTATTGAATTACACAGGTGAAGAATGTTGAATTGGTAAATGTTGAGTTACTCGTTCTTTTTATTATCTTTTTATTGGGGGCTCATACAACACTTATCATAATCCATACATCCATCCATCGTGTCAAGCACATTTGTACATTTGTTGCCATCATCACTCTCAAAACATTTGCTTTCTACTTGAGCCCTTGGTATCAGCTTATTTTTCCCCTCCCTCTCTATTCCCCCCTCCCTTATGAACCCTTGATAA